AGTTCACTGGATATACAATCGTTAACATCTTCCATGAACTAAAGTATCACACGAATTAAAAAACACTGTGAAAAATCTGTAACTCCATGGAGAAGTGAAATCTCCACTTTATCACTGTCACTTAAAAACTGAAATCTGTTCTGTCTGTAACTGTCGTTATATAGCCTCCGCACCAGTCACACAGATAACAGTCCCTACTGTTGCAGAGGAATGTTTACCGCGACGTTGCATAGCAACGGTCGCGTTGCGGGCCGCATAGAAAACACCATATATCTATTGTTGGGTGCGTGTATGTTGAGGACATTACATAGTATCGACCGATTTTACAGATTTCCTACTTAGCAACGGGTCTATAAGCCACAATATTCACCACCGTGAGAATTTCAGATGCGTATCATGCAACTTAAGCAACTAGGACATTCACCAAGATAATTCATATGGGCTTCCCAAAAGAGCGGCGATTATTTTCGTAAACATAATTTGTGGGCTAATCTTTGCAATTGATATGAAGTTTGTAGGATTTGAGGTTTTCACGGCGGTGAGTATAAAGAAAGCAGTCTTCTTGGATGTGGCGTCGTGTAGATATTGTGTTGAGAGACGTTTCGGAGCAACGTATCGCCTCCATCTTTAGGGTAGAAGAAAAATAGGAGAAAGTGTGAGTAGGTGCTCACAGGTTTTCTGGGAGCACCTGCTCGCGCTGGTTCCTCGCTCGAGGAGTTTATCTATTATTTCTTCTACCCTGAAAATGGAGGAGCACGTTCCTCCGAAACGTCGATCAACACAATATCTACACGACTCCACGTCCCAGAACACTGCTTTCTTTGATATGCAGCGTGTTTCCCGGAAGTAAGAAGAAACGCAAGATATGATTTATTTGATCTTCACCTTCTAAAGGATTAAAACATTTCATAGTTAACTTTCCAAAACTACAGATGAATTAATTAAGATCAGAGAGCTCATATACATTATTAAATAACATTTGCAAGTTGGTTGTGTTAACATATTTATCACTTTATTGTGGTCACTGGTATCCGAAACGTCATGTTTAATCATCAGTTAGAAATATGCTTGCTAATTTTGCATGGAAATAGGATACAAATTTGAATATTATGTTTCACAGCCTTCGTAACAGGAGCTAAAATTAATTTCAGAGGTTTGCATTTTTAAGCCGGATAGCATTTTAGCTGAAATTTGCAATCAGTAGGCTTTACGGCAGTTGGAGCTAATCAACCGCCGAACCCACAAGGAAGATCTCCACAGTTGCGGCAGAATGGGCTCACTTCCGACCACAAAAGCGACTGGAAACAGAACTACACATCATAAAGAACAGTTTGCTTTATATGCAATAGAATTTAAATACCAGCAACATACAAATACATGATTTAAGTTGCAGTGTTATTTGCACATTTTCTAGTAGATCTAATCCTATTCTGAGGTAAGAAATATTCACTGACGCAGGTGTAAGATATGGAAGCATGAATGTTAATATGAGGTAAACTTCAAGTTCAGTTTCCATATCGCTGCAGATTATGTAACACGAACTGAGTATTATTTTGGACGTCCTGTGTGGAGACCGGTTAGAATACCTTCACCGCATTCCTGAGAGTCGCAGAATACGACGAAAAGGAACCTGGTTTCTGGGGTTATAACTGGACCACACCATCACTGTAGGACATAAATAAAAAGACATGATCTTCCAGGTTTTGGGTTAGACCACGACTGACGACTTTGCTCTGTAAAGAAAAACCGTTGCAAAATCGAAATAATTGAAAACCGGATGGCCTAATTTAAGACAAATCTGACAGAATTTTCTAAGGAAAGCTGTAGCTCAATAAGGGCTGTTTTGTCAGAAATGATGCTTATTTTGGAGACTGTCCATTGTCTTGAGATTTTTTAAACAGAACTTATCGGAAACTTGATCTGTATCCAACATCAGGTTTAATAACTGAGCGGATGGATAACAGATCTTTCTAATGGGCCCATCTGAGTAACAACTTTCTTCCCTGACGGTAGATCCAGTTTCCTAGACGTTGTATGAAAGAAACTAAAGATGATAGATGATAAATGGTAATCGTAAGCACTGAGGTATACAATCCTCATAAATAATTACATTGAGCAGTTCTATGTGTTGATATGGTGAATTGTATAAAGTGACTGATATGTTGTAGATGATGAATTATTGTATAAGGTGATGTATATTCTGTGTATATACTCGTATATAAGAATTAGGGTATATATTAAAGAAATGGCTATTGATATATATAATCAGAGGAAAATATTGCACCAATAGGAAATATTAAATGATTATAACTTGGCCATTCGCCAATGTTACCACCCGAAAAAATCTTGTTCTAAACTTAAAATGCAGAGCCAATTGTGAACACTCTTACCTTATAAATTTAGTTAACATAGGTCAAAGTTCAGGAATAAAGCAACGTTCAGATGGAATCCCATACTGTAAACAATAGAATGTTCTAGAAGCTTCTTCTGATGATGCAATGTGTGAAACTAATAGAAGCTTCCAGACAGGAAACGCCCTTACTAAACTTTCGTATATACTCAGCTCCTGGTATTATCAAATGTTTTTTGATATCGAGGCAGCTTCTGTCCATTGTGGAGCAGATCTGTCGCCTATTATAAGTCGGCCACTGCCCTTGCTTAGGCAGGTGACGATTTCTTACCAACATGGTTTCTCTGCATTAACTGCGTACAACTATCATTTTCAATAAATGTGTTAGTTAACTTTCAGCTGCAGTGCTTAGACACCCCTCACTGAATCCCAAGGAAACCGCTCGATCTGTCAACCTGTCCCATCAGCGGATACAACACAGCTTAGAAATTCTATAGTCCAGGATCAAGGAAGTGGCTTTCGACACTCAGATAACATATGAGACTAATTCCAAGCATAAGGGTCGTTCTCAAAGAGCTAACAGCCGCTGAGATGTAAAAGGAAACATGTGCACCTTGAGTATCTCGAAGGTTCATTGCCATGTTCACAGAAGTCTGCCCTGAGCTCTCTCCAAGTCATACTGAAGCCAGTTCATAAAGCTAAAACTTTGAGATACAGTTTAATATTATTCTCTCATCGATTCCTAGGACTCCCAATTAATCTCTCAGTTTCAGATTTTCTGGACGAACTCTCACATACATCTTTAATCCCTCTCTTGCATGTTACAATTCCCGAAAATTTCCTCCTTGGCGATATACTCCCCATTATAATATTCGGTGAACAGTACAAGCCATGAAGAATGGGGTGAGTTCTTTCTTTCTCTTTTTGCTAATTTAGAGAGCAAGCAGTGTGTAAATATCGGAAGAGGTTGGACATATCTAGCAGTATTGTCAGTGTATATGTTTTTATAAAACTGTGCATATGCATATTTCCAGGTCAGCACACTATGCTGACTACGACAGGCGTGAGGAGAGCATGTGGGAAAAAATGCGTTTCACCGTAAATTGTTTCTGCGCTCCAGTAATCAAAACCACTCGGCAAATGTGAAGCAATTTCCATATATCGAACGTTTTATATGCTTTTGATATAGCCAAACGTGAATAACAAGTTGACTGTTACACAACTTGGTACGGTATGATTATAACTATAATCCCCAACACATAATCGCATTTTATAGCCGTAACTCGGCCACTGTTGTTTCACTGAGCAGTTGAAAATTGAAGTGGACCCATTTGAATTGTATCCTTTTGGTTAAAAAAAATTTTGATGTAATAATTTTATTTTTATCGGCTCATTAATGTCGTTAATAAATCTGCAAATGTAATTCCATTTAAAATTTATGTAAAAACATGCAACTGACATATAATCAACAATCGATAGAATCAAGTATTAAAATTAATTATCGTCTGACAAATACAGTATCCAAGAAAAGGCCTACACATAATTATTAAGCTTATCATTAAACTTTAATTAATCAGGGTAAAACATCGGCTCTCGTTAAAAGGAACAAACAATGAAAAGAATTTTAAGTTATCGGTTATTGACAGCAAATGAATCGCAGTATTTAATTCGATAAGCATATTTTATTATAATAAAACTGTAAAAATAATACTGCTTAATGTAAGCGTAGTATATAAAACTACCAGCGGAATTCTTTGAAATTCATCAAGCTTACATTAAAACGTAAATTACTGAGTCTTGCAATTGGAATTTCAGCAAAAACTATAATAGGGTGAAAGGGAGGTACATGAAAGTTTAATTTACGGCCTTAAGCGAACAAGGCTCTAAAGATAAATATGAATTAAAATTTGGACTGCCCAATGCAATGTGGTGGAATTTTCGTAAGTCGAATTTTAATAAAATCCGTGGAAAGACTTATGGGATACAAGGTGAAATGTATTTATGATATCGTGTAAACTAGGCTTTATTTTCGACAAAGGTGTGTGAGATCGGACTTGCAAAACATATTTTGATGGAAGCCGCTTGTATGGAATTTAAATAGAATCTGTAAAACTGTACAAGGAATTTTCGTAAATACAGAGGTACTTACGTGTATATCCTATGTAAAGTAATATGTATTATGAATTAGTATGGCTGAAAATCGAATGTTGGACAATGTTTAGTAAAATTCTTCAATGTATATTTTCAAAAATTATTGCTATGTTAGCATGAAAAGAAACATAATTTTACGTCATCGGAAAGCAGAGAAAATTCTTAACATAATGATATGTAAGCCAGTAGAAAAAACTAGTAGGAAGACTCAGATAAAGGTGGGAGGATAATATTAAAATGGATTTAAGATAAATAGTATGGGATGAAATGGACCAGCCCCAGATGATAGGTGAGGGTGATTGTGGGGCAACCGGTGGAATGAAGATTGGCAGGGGTAAGCGAAGTACTCGGAGAAAACCTGCCCCAGCCCCATTTTGTCCACCACAAATCCCACTTCACCAGACCTGGGATGGAACCCGGGCCGCGGCAGTGGGAAGCCAGCGACTAACGGCTTGAGCTATGGTGCGGCCAAGGCTACAGATACTTTCAGTTTACTTACCCTCTTTCCGTTGATGATCCAGGTGAGGTTTGTTGGTGGACTGGACGCTGGTGAGGAGCAGTTGCCACGCAGGGTGTCCCCTACAGCGTAGCGGCGCTTCTCTACCTGCAGTTTAGGATCTCCTTCAGGTAGATCTGCAATCAAGAACGAACGCCATTTCAGCAATGGTCATTTCAAAACCATATTATGTGGTTAAACCCAGGAGGGAGTATTAATTACAATATTTTGTTTGGTAGACATAAGTGAATGAGATGGATGTGTGATAAACATACAAATTCAATTAATATCTCTCAGGACAATGTTCAATGCGAAACTTCGAAACGACGGCCGTCAGACTTCACGAAGAGTTTTACTTGCTCAGTCTCTTGAGAGTTAGCTGTGGTTTCAGGAGAGCATGTCTGCTTGCTGCCTGCTTCGTGCTGGTTTCTTGCTCTTCATATTCTTCAACGCTGAAGATGCAGGCGATATTTTTCTCCGAAACCTCGGCTAGTTTTCAACGGACTACATGGCATTATGTCGTTTCATAATCACCCCTGTGAGAACCTACTGAACAGTTGTGTTCTATTCTGAAAGAATTGATTACTTCCATTAATCTCAAATCTATACAAAGTAATTTAAAACAAGAGAATTCTGTGGAAGATCATATTACTATACATGGAATGTCGTGTAAAACACTGACTTCATTATAAAACGGGCCTCTTAGAAACGATTATGAAATATATGCAGAGTCATAAATGCGATTTGGTAATTTCAAAATTAGATTTGTTATAAATCCTATTAACATGAAAATAAACTTGAAACTATGGTATTTAAGACCAAGTAAAACTTCTATATTTATGCAAAAGTTAGACACTACTCTCTAAATAAGGCTAAAATATTGCATTTATAGAACGTTCGAGTGGCGATAGCACAGTAACGCAGTCGGCATAGCGAGTGACTACGATCTATACAACTGAAAAACGAGAGCTCGAGTCCCGTTAAGATCAAGAATTTTTTCTACTCCACGTCGTCGATACCGGATCTAGGGCACACCCAACTCCCTAAAGAATGGGTACCGGGGACTATTTCTTGGGTGTAAAGCGGCAGAGGCGTGAAGGTTTCTACTCACCACCAACTAATGCCGAAGTTAAGAAAGCTTGGATCTATACATCTACTCCCCCATACGCTTTCATGACGTAGTGCTTAATTACTTAAATGAAGGGACAATTTTTTTCCTTGGCACTAAGCCCCAGTGGGCCTAGGCCTACCTCCATGAACTTCTCCGTTCACTTCTATTTTTCTAGATCTTACACATTCGGTATGACTCCTTGGGCGGATGATCAGCTCGTCTCAAGGCCTCTACCTGTACACAAACACAGAAAAACGCACACAAACAAACTAAACATCCATGCCCTGAGTGGGATTCGAACCCACGATCCAGGTTTCCAAGCGAGCGAAGACAGTACATGCCTTAGACCGCTCGGCTACCGTGACCGGCAGGGACAACTTTACTTTACCTTTATTCATATGTGATTGAAACATTTTGATATGGCCCAATTTGAAAATCTCCCCAAGCTTGGTTTCACTTAACTGTCTGCTGTGTGTACGTTACCATTCTAACATGTGAATTCTATGCTATATAAGGAAGGAACAGTTCGCGTTGGCCGTCGAGAGAAAAAGGATTAGGATTCTGTCACTTACTGTTTCAAATTCCAAATAAAGTGGATCAGAACTGTCAATACTTTTAAGAGAGTCTCTCGTGCTTAGAGTGGAAAGTATTCTCGTTCTGATATTTTTTCTACAAACATATAAGCAATATGGTGGAAGTATATAAACTGTAACAATCATAGCCACCCTATCCGCTCTGTCCCTACAGACAAGTCTGTTTCTTCAATTACAACGCATTTGATTCATGTAATTACAGTCGTTCTGTGATATCAACATTAAAGACATGGCTTATTTCAATATTTTTTTTTAGTTTAAATGAACAGCGTCGGATGTGTTCAAAATAGCAAGAGGGAAAATAAAACCCACATACAGCGTTTCATATTAAAACATTGAAATTAAAATCTACAACGTGTTTCCATAAGGCAGTAATTGCTGGCCATCCTACAATAAAACAGTTGTGTGCTATTTCAGACAAAACATACATCAGCAAGCCCGGACGAAACAAGCCGTCAAATGCAGACTTGATTCGCCGCAAGGCAGGAGAACAGTTGCACTGCTACTTGGTTGGGATCAACCCAGCAGCAGCAGCATAGGGACTGCGCCTGTAGTTTCTACACCAAATTAAAACAAGCAAGTGGAACAGAATTTAGAACATTAAATTTCCAGCTATCTGCTACAATTTCATTTCAAGATTAATTGTAAGTTCAAAAAACATTCGAGAGGCGAAGTTGTATCTTAGTTGCTTTACTTAAACAACAACAAAAAAGAAAGCAGTCTTCTGGGATTTGGCACCGTGTATATGTGGTTTTAACCGACGTTTCGGAGGAACGTATCGCCTCCATCTTCAGGGTAGAAGGAAAAATATAAGAAATCCGAAAGCGAAGAGACCGTGAGAACCGGTAAAAGCAGACCAGTCATATATTTTTCCTTCTACCCTGAAGATGGAGGCGATACGTTCCTCCGAAACGTCGGTTAAAACCACATATACACGGTGCCAAATCCCAGAAGACTGATTTCTTCATAGTCACCGCCGTGAAAGCCTCAAATCTTACACAACAACAGAAAAAGTCTGAATAATTTAAGTATATTTTTGAGCAGAAGTAGTGAAAATAATAATCAAGAGACGTCTACATAAACACAGAAATATACGATCGCTAACCGTTATAACCTACAAACAATCTTAGTAAATGTATCTTCCACGAAGTATATATGCGTAGGACCAAATATGACAGCGAGATATAAAGAAAAATTGTTATTCTCGAAATTTTTGCTAAGTGAAAGTTTGAATAAAACGAATTTGATATTCAGAAAGTTATTCGTCCTTTTAGATTATGGAAATCTGCGACTCTATGACTTGTATTTTGTAGATACGCAACAACTTTTCGGAGGAATCCGTCACCATCTTCAACTTACCCTGAAAATGGAGACAGTATATTCCTCCGAATGTTTGTATCTACCTACCGAAAAACAACCCGTCACATCTCAGAGACCTGCAATCTGAACACTCGTCGCCGTGATGATAACAAATAACATAGGAAGCTGACCAAAGGCCGCGCCATAGTTCAAGCGGTTAGTCGCTGGCTTCGCACCTCGGTGGCCCAGGTTCGATTTCGGGTCTGGTCAAGTGGGATTTGTGGAGGACAAAGTGGCACTGGGCTGGTTCTCTCCGAGTACTTCAGTTTCCCCTGCCAATCTTCATTCCACAAAATTCTCCATCATCATCATAATCACCCTGGGCAGACTACAATAGGCCAATCAGTGGCCGCCATGCCGAGTTGGATTCCACCCCCACCCCCCCCACTGAGCGAATTAAAAAAATAGCTGACCCAAGCGGAAATGATTCTTTTTTAATATTTAATTAATAATATATTTATAACATATACTCAATAATATGGAGGAATCAGTAAATTTGTTCCAAGTAGGTGTCTTGAGTAGAGAAGTCATCCACTGATGACATTCTGACAGGCCCTGTAGAGGAATGGTGATGGTTTCAATCTTCGTCATCTGCGGGTTGTGGTAGATCAACGGCCACTGTCCCATTAATTTCTTCTTACATTTGGTGTGTTGCTAATTTCTACAACTAGTCTCTTATTTTGTCCGAGTATGCTTTGATGGTGCCGGTCACTGTAGCCGAGCGGTCTAAGGCATGCACTGTCTTCGCTCCCTCGGAAGCCGGGGTCGTGGGTTCGAATCCCACTCAGGGCATGGATGTTTGTGTGCGTTTTTCTGTGTTTGTCTACAAGTAGAGGCCTTGCGACGAGCTGATCACTCGCCCAAGGAGTCCTACCGTATGTGTAAGATCTAGTAAACCGAAGTGAAACGGAGAGTTTCATGGAGGTAGGCCTAGGCCCAAATTGGGGCTGTAGCGCCACAGGAAAAAAAATGCTTTGATGGTAGAGTGTTGACAATCTATGTATATCTTCTATGTCAAATTCGATGGAAATTATTCTAACTTGTCTCGAAAGGTACTCAGTTCGAATTTCAGCCAGGACATAGACTATCCAGAATGAGATGTCTTGTGGTTATTTATCTGTCTCTACGGACAAATGTCGAGAGTATACCTTAAATTAGGTCATGCCCTTTCCTTTTATATCCGTTCCAATGCGTTTTTCACTATCATCCAATCGTTCTTGACCGAATAAGCTTAGTCAGTGATAATATCGTTAAATAACATACAAAAAACTGAAATTTTCGTGCTTTCTCTGTCTCAACTGAGTGTCACAATATGATCGCCAAGAAGGTTTATTAAAATATGAACATATTGCAAGTTGGAAAGTGAATGTTTTATATGGGCTTCTGTCTCCCTTTCTTTGCTTCACGCCTGCTCAACTTCTGGTGTTTCTGCTTCACTTAGCTTCGCCATCGGCATACTTCGTTGCAATATGTAGCGTCCTAGAAGAAATTAATAAATGAACGATGCTGCAATCCCAAAAATAGGTCAAACCGCTTAGAGTTGCACTAGAAGAAAGTTCCAAAGAACGTCGCAACGCATCACTGTCATGCGCGACGTAATCAATCATCAACTATTCACATCAATACTTCACTGTTACAGTAACATGCCGCAGGGCCGTCCTCAGATGTGACAGTCAGAGCTGAAGTCAGTTTTCTTGCTAAGAATGTTGTCTTATGGGAAGTGGCGCCGTGTAGTTTCGGAACAACATACTAGCTCCATATTTCGGACAGAGGAATATTGATAACCATCTAACAAATTGTAAGATGAACCATTCCAAAATACTGCAGCCTTAATACTCGCAGTTGTGAGAAACTCGAATCTCATATCATTTTCCTTTATTAAGAGGTATCTCTACATAATTTCCGTCAATGCATCCTTTCTATCCTGAACATGGGGGCAGCAGATTCCTCCGAAGAGTAGGTTGCCATTTACCAGACTGCAAGGTGTCGTATATCATAAGACAGCAGACTTAATATCATAGTACTCGCTAGAAGTTGCCTGGTTGTTTCATAAATTTCAATACACGCTGGCAAT